CTTCCTTCCTTCCTTCCTTCCTTCCTTCCTTCCTTCCTTCCTTCCTTTTTTTCTTTTTGACAGTCTCTTGCTATATTGTCCTAGTCTGGCCTCAAACTCATAATCCTTTTGCCTCAGCTACCAGAATGCTGGGATTTCATGCATGAACCATCATGATGGCCTTTCCCGGACCCTGGAGTCCAGTGTTGCTGGCTTGGGCCAGCAGCACTCACATATGGATGGGTGTCTTCTCCACTGAAGGCCTGTCCCTCTGCACAGAGGCTGAGTTTAATTGATGCCTGACCCCTGAACTCATCCTCCATATGGCACATGGAAAGTGATGGGTGATATGAGCTGAACAGTTAATGAAGGAACAGAATGAAAGCTGAGACTCAGTGATGCTGTAGGAGGTCTTGCTGTCTCCAAGGAGAGCCCTAAACCAGGATGTTTCAACCTCAGCATTACAGGCATTTTGGACCATATGATTCATTTTGTCTGAGGTCAGTCGGCACACTGGAGGACATTAGGGGCTTCTCTAATTTTTTGTTTGTTTTGTTTTTTTCAAGACAGGGTTTCTCTGTATAGTCCTGGCTGTCCTGAAACTTGATTTGTAGGTCTGACTGGCCTCAGACTCAGAAATCCTCCTGCTTCTGCCTCTCCTGGGTGCTGGGATTAAAGCCATATGCCTCCACTACCCAGCTATCAAAGGCTTCTCTTTTCTGTACTCCCTTGATGCCAGTAGCAACTCACTTCTCTGGTCATAATGATCAAAAAAGTCCCTGGGGCTTGAGAGATGGCTCAGCAGTTAAGAGCACTTGTTGCTCATGCAGAGGACCTGCATTCAGTTCCCAGCGCCCACACGATGCCTCCCAACAGTCCGAGGCCCTTCTCTGATCTCTGAGGGCATCAGACACACATGGTGCACACATGTAAACGCAGGTAAAACACTTAAACACATAAAGTCAAAATAAAGTTTGTTTTTTTTTTTTTAAAGTCCCTAAGGTTGGGAATTAAACTCCATAGAGTGCTTACCTCAAATGAGCAAGGCCCTGGGTTTGGTCCCCAGTACCACATAAACCAGGTGTGGTTTATCTCCTTGGGATCCCAGCACTCAGGAGATGGAGGCAGGAGGACAGAGATTCAAGGTCATCTCCTGACGACAAGAGACCCAGTCATTTTTTTTTTTAATTTTTTTTTTAAAGGTTGATCAATCTTTCCTAGAAAGCAAAATCTCCCAAGTTGAAATCACTGCTTTAGGAATAGGTTATTCTAGTTGTTTTTTAGTCTTTCACCTTGGATCATTTAATTCAAGATCCCTCTTGACCTTAAAACTTTACCAGCAATTGAAAAGCTACCTTGAAGCCGGACACAGTGGTGCACTCAGGGAGACAGGGTCAGGCAGATCTCTGTGAGTTCGAGGCCAGCCTGGTCTACAAAGCGAGTCCAGGACATCCAAGGCTACACAGAGAAATGCTGTCTTGAAAAACAAAACAAAACAGACAAAAGAGAAAGAAAAGAAAAAGTAAAAGACAAGCTACCTTGAGTCCCTGAGGCTGAGGTTTCCTCCTTTTGCAGAGTCAGGGTAAGTTCCAGAAAGGTAGAGATTTTCATCTCTGGGGATAAAGAACAAGTCTATAGACTCAGGGTGTGCTGGAGCCAGGAAGTTAGTGGTATAGACCTAGACATCAACACTAATGATCTAGTTAGGGGCTCGAGAGCTGCCCGCCTAGCCCTGCCTTCTGAGACACACATTCCTATTGTGCAACGAAGCCCTCAAAGGATCATGTCCTTTGAGGGGGGCCTGGAAATATGGGTCTTCTCTCCAGCCATCTTCTCCTCCTTACTCTACCCTGCAGTCAGTGCTGAGGGGAGCCAAGCTTGTGCCAAGGGCTGTGAGCTCTGTTCGGAAGTCAACGGTTGCCTCAAGTGCTCACCCAAGCTGTTCATTCTGCTGGAGAGGAACGACATCCGCCAGGTGGGCGTCTGCCTGCCGTCCTGCCCGCCTGGATACTTTGATGCCCGAAACCCCGACATGAACAAATGCATCAGTGAGTGTGTGTGTGTGTGGGGGGGGGGGCTGGAGAGGCCCTGGACCCTGGAGGACTGTGCTTTGAACTAGTTAGTAATGGCCAGTGAGAAGTGTTGAGGGGGCAGAGGGAAGAGGAGACTTGATTTAGCTATACAGCTGCCAGGCAGACATCTTCCTAGATGCTCCACCCGTAATCCCACTGTGTGCAATCCAGAACGCTTTCTTCTCTCTCCATATCTGCACCACAGGTCACTCTCAGGGTCCTGACTTATCTGTCAAGCCATAGACCCAAAAGCTAGTCTCTCTGTGTGCTGTTCAACCCACTCATTAACCACATCCCAGCGGCTGTTTCCCTCCTTCCCATCATCCTATGGAGGCTCCCAACAGCTGTCTCCTCCCCCATTTCCACAGCCTGTTCATCTGGCTTCCAGCCCACCCTCTACACTGCAGCCACCAATGCTCCTGAGACCCATAACCTGGCACAGGTCCCTGTGTTAGCCTCCCCCGTCAGCTCTACCCTGGCTTCAGGGAAGCCCCCGTCTGGCCATTCTGCTCTTTTATGACTCCCCTCGGCTTCTGGCTCTGCTTTTTCACCCCAGCCATGGGGTCATGGGTTCCATGGGTTACAAGGCACGTGCTGTCCTGTCTTCATCCCATCCCCGTAACATTCTGGGGGACAGCCAGTGAGCCACACCAGTGTTTCCTCCCTCAGTTCAGCACCTGGAGCTGTAGAGGTCATTTCTAGATCTCAGATCACCAAGCCTCACCAAAGTCTGTGGAGGGAGGCTGGGCAGAAGGGGCCATCACTACTTTCTAAAGCTGATAACTTAGAGGTGTGGAGGGAGAATGCCTGGTGCCAGCTTAGCCTTCCAAATCTCAGCTTGGCTACTAGCTCATTGTATGGCTTTGAGTGCATCTCAGCCACCCCCCTCCCCCCACAGCTCATCCGTAAGCCAGGAGTGCTGGTTTCTTTTTTCCCCTTGGGTTGTTGTGAGACACACCTATAAACCTCTTGGTGTCTGGCACTCAGTAAATGGGAGCTGCTGTTGTTATTTTGGGTCTTATTGTACTGGCAACCAAACCTAGGAATTAGGCATCTGGAAGGGGAGGGAGGGGGCAGAGGGGAAAGAGGAGGAAGGGAGGCGAAGTTGAAATTAAGCCACCGAAACCAAGGTACAGAAGGAGGCAGATCAATTGCTTGGTAAGGTGAGGTGGGCCCTGGGAGCTGCCCTCTTGGTCTTCAGGACATTGAGGGATGAGGGGGTCCCTGGATGTGCCAGAGTCTGATAGACTGGCAGCTAGGGCTTCAGGTGCCAGAGACTGGGGGGAAGCCAGTACCACCCAGTCTGGAAAGGGGAGGTGGTGGAAGGCCTGTCTGTTCCCAGCCAAGCCCTTTTCTGCCCACCTCCTGCAAAGGAGGGAGCTGGCAAGAGGAGGTAGGGAGGGCCCCAGGAGTCCAACCCAGGGGTTTCTGGAACTTGGATTTGCAGAGGGAGAGGAATTTGCCCTGAGATTGCTCCCACTCCTCTAAGCAGATTCTTTCTGCTCTGGGCAGGCGGAGACCCAGTGCCGAGGTGCCAGTGGTGCCCAGCAATGTGGGAAAGGGGTTCATTTTCCCGTTCAGTCCCACTGTTTTCAGAGGGCTGCTCTGGGACGCTACAGAATGCAGAGACAGTCTGTCTGTCTCCATCAAGCCCGGAAGGCCCCATTGTCCCCTGAAACCCTTGGGTCTCATGTTGAATTCCAGGATCTAAGACTTCATTTGGGGTCTGGTTGGCTATTGCTGGCAAGTTCCCAGTCAGTACTCAGGAGTGGATGCTTGAGTGTCCTCTCCTTGCCTACACCCTTTGAAAGATTCCTCCGCAGGAATCCGAACCCTAGACCAAGATCCTGACCTCTCTGACTGGATGTGAGTGGTGGGTTTGGGGGCTGGGAATAAAAGGATGTGCCCATCCCGGCCGGGGATAGACACCATCCTGCTCCTGTCCTCAGAATGCAAGATCGAGCACTGTGAGGCCTGCTTCAGCCACAACTTCTGCACCAAGTGTCAGGGGGGCTTGTACTTGCACAAAGGCCGCTGCTATCCAGCCTGTCCCGAGGGCTCCACAGCAGCCAACAGCACCATGGAGTGCGGCAGTCCTGGTAAGGTGGGAGGCAGAGGCCAGAGCCAAGGGGTTGATGGGAGTCTGGCCACAGTTCGAAGGGGCGGGGGGGGGCGCAAAAGAAAGCTCATCTTCTGCAACCACCTTTTTGGGGGCTCTTTCTCTGTGGCCTTCTGCCTCTGGGCCAAAGATCTTAGCCCTGAGGTCTGGGCTGAGGGTGCATGGTGGGTGAGGGAGGATTCCCTAAGGCACTCAGGGCCACGGGAGGGGCGGCCCCTCTGCCTCTTGCTTCCCTTCTCCTACCTTACCTCCTGTCAGCACAATGTGAAATGAGTGAGTGGTCCCCGTGGGGCCCCTGCTCCAAGAAGAGGAAGCTGTGCGGTTTCCGGAAGGGATCGGAAGAGCGGACACGCAGGGTGCTCCACGCTCCTGGGGGAGACCACACCACCTGCTCCGACACCAAAGAGACCCGGAAGTGTACAGTGCGCAGGACGCCGTGTCCTGAGGGTGAGCTGCAGCTCTTGCCATCTGGAGGCCAGTTACATCTGTGTGCTGCCAGAGTCTCCCATGCTGTGCAAACAGTGGGGGGGTGAGGGAGGGCGTCTCCTGGCTGAGGACAGTGCCCTGGGATGCGGTGTGGCAGGAATTAGTAACTTCTAAAGGCATGATCCCTGTAGCTGTCCCATTTCTTCAAGATGTTCATTTTAGTAGAGCCCTCAGAGAGCAGAGGGGTTTGGGGATGGGCTAAGCCCCAGAGACTTGGACCTATTTAGAAGGCCCCAGAGCTGGCAGTTGGCAACAAGTCCCCCCTGCCTGGTCTCAGAGGTGGCTGGTGGGTGGCAGGGAATGGGGACTGTCCTGATGGCCTCACTGAACAGCCACGAAGTGCTCTAGGTCTTTGGGTTACAAGGACTGAAGAGAAGGAGAGTGTCTGGTGTGCACTGGGGAAGGCTCTTGGGGCTGTCATTCTTGTACTTATGTAATAAGATCCCCTGAAGAAGCTGAAGTCTGGGGAGGCTTTGGGGTGACTTTCCATCCTGCTTCCTTGCCGTGGCTTTCTGAGGACCATTGGACACCCAGAGTGTCTGTATATCCTATGTTGATTTTCCCTCCACTATCCAACTGCAGGGCAGAAGAGGAGGAAGGGGGGCCAGGGCCGGAGGGAGAATGCCAATAGGCATCCGGCCAGGAAGAACAGCAAGGAGCCAGGCTCCAACTCTCGGAGACACAAAGGGCAGCAGCAGCCACCACAGCCAGGGACAGCAGGGCCACTCACATCAGTAGGACCCACCTAGGCACAGCGGCCCATCTCCAGATCCATGTGGAAGAGTCCAGTGCTGTACTGCATAACGGGAACTTTCTAGTACTGGAGCGTCTAGGACAGCAAGTCCACCCATACTCCACCTACCTACCCATCCATCCATCCATCCATCCATTCATCCATCTGTGCACATTCATGCACACACGGCCATCTGAAAATGACCACACACACACACACACACACACACACACAAACACACACACACTCTTGAGGTTACCGAAGAGACTTCCATTCTGTGATTCTGTGGCCCAGCTGGATATTCAGTTTGTGATGCTCTTGGAAGAGAGAACCTTTCCCAGCATCTGAACCTAAACTTCAAGGAGTGGAACCTTCTGGAGGAACTTCTGGGACAGCATCTGCCAGACAGATGGCAGATTAGAGCCAAAGCTGGACCAGCTGCCAATGGGGAGACTGTTTTCCCCTGTCATGGGTGGCATTCCCAACTGGGTGACTTGATTGTTGGAGATGAGAGTCATTACACATCCGTGGTACGTGTCAGGGCCGACCTGACTTTGAAACTGCTTAAAGGTTTATTTCAAATTAAAAAGAGAGAGAAAGCGAGAGAAAAACTCTATTCATTTTCAGGGTGTGAGGTTTGGTGGGTACATGTGGGAGCAGGGAGGGGCAGGACCCAATTTCAAGAGCTCCCTGATAACCTCTGGCAGGAGGAAAACTTAAGGGAAACCTGGTGAGTAGTCACTAGGTTCCCTGCATGTTTTTAAAAAGAGATTTAAAAAAACACTTCTATGATTGCACGCGTGCCTGTGTGACTTTATGTGCACCTCGTGAATGCAGGTCCTCCCAGAAGCCACACTTACAGGAGGTTACGGCCTGCTGAGGTTGGAGATGGGAACTCAACCCAGGTCCCCAGCAAAAGCAGCAAGTGCTGTTAATCACTGGGTCATCTCTCCAGCCCCATCTGCCTTCCTGTCAGTCATAGTGTGGTCTGTGGGCCAGCTGTGACCTTGTTGGCAAGCAGCTTGCTGGGAATGAGACTCAGGTGCCATCCCAGACCTAGTGTGCCACAGCATGCGCGTGAGCCAGGCTCCAGGTGGTGGGCATACATGCCCTAATCAAGAAGCACTCCCACCATTCCTCCGAAGAAGTCCAGGCCAGCCCTGTGAAAGGACTTCCATCTGGGAGGTCAGGGTCTGTGTACCAAAAGGGGAGGGAGAGAGCAGGCTCTCTGACCATTATCAGAATGTCCACTGTCAGACCACTGGGAACTGTCCCGGCCACAGGTGCAGCAGTGGGTGGAATGACTTTGTGTGACATTCTGGCATCTGCTGGCATCTGTGCAGGCCAGGCTCTGGACTAGGTGGTTGTTTTCCACAGAGAGCCAGACTCAGCCTGCTCTCACAAAGCTTAGAGCATGATGGGAGAGGCAGATGTTCATCAAATGAAGGTGCAAGCAAGACCCCAAGTACAAACAGAGGGCGTCAAGGGCAGGCAGATTCTGCTATATACATGGAGCTTGTAAAAGCAAGTGAAAGAAAAAAGAAAAAGAGATGAACAAAAAGCAAAGACTTTATTCCAGAGTGGCTTCTCAGAACAGGGAAGATTTGAGATCACCTCTGAACAATTTGTAGAAGGATTTAAGATAAAGATTAATGTCTTGGGCCAGCAAGAGGGCTCAACCAATGAAGGTGCTTGCTACCAAGTCAGATGACCTGCTTGGGATCTGACACTCAGAAGGCAGAAGGAGAGAAGTGACTATCTTGAAAGTTGTCCTCTGAACTCCATGTGTATGTGGAGACATGGACACACACACAATGAGTAAATAAATAATGTCTTTGTGGGGAGGGGTTGAGACAGGGTTTCTCTGTGTAGCCCTGGCTGTCCTGGACTCACTTTGTAGACCAGGCTGGCCTCAAACTCACAGAATATCTGCCTGCCTCTGCCTCAAGTGCTGGGATCACAGATGTGTGCCACTGTGGCTGGCTTCAAATTATGTTATTTTTTAAAATGACATTTTTTAAGGCTTAAAGTCTGTAAGAATAAGGAAGACAGAAAAAAGATTTAGTTATGAAGCCAGCAACCTGGGGCTGCAGGTCAATAGTGGATCACTTGCTAAGACCACAAAAGTAATTCTTAGAACCACAAAAAAAAAAAAAAAAAAAGACAAGTAAACAAGTCTAAGCAGAACCCGTCGTGGTGCTCACACTTAGAATCCTTGGGAGTCAGAGGCAGGAGGACAGAGTTCAAGGTCACCCTCAACAACATGGTGAGAATGAGGCCAGGTTGAGCTTGTCTCAAAAAGCCAACCAACCAGCCAACCAACCAACCATATACAAAGCAAGCTAGGGGCTGGGGTGATGAGTTCACCCATGCTACTCTAATAGAGAACCTGAGTCTGGGTCCTAGTACCTAAGTCTTGTGGCCCACAACTGCATGGAACTCCCTCTCTAGGGGCAGCCAACACACTTTTCCAACCTCTTCAGGCACATAAATACAAGTACACACACACACACAAACAAACAAATAAAAAAATAAATATTTTTGTTGTTGTTTTCAAGATCTGAGTGCTGGGATTAAAGGTGTGCCACCATCCATTGTCTTTAAAAAAAATGGACAAGACTAGAACATATTTAAAATCTGTAAGAGTCCAGGGACGGGAAGGGAATGATTGAATATATAGAGAAAGGAGGGAATGGGTAATAGGTTTGGGAGAGACATATGTTCTTCTAGGACTGGGAGGCGAGGGGCAGGAATGGGGAAGCTTGCAAACAAGGAAGTCTGTGCCCCTGCTACCCCAAAGGTCTCATTCCACCCAGACCTGCCATCCCTTACTGCTGGTTGAGACTGGGAGACTGTGTTGGCATGGCTGGTCCCAGGCTGTCCATAGCAAGCTATAGCTTTTCCCTTCACCATGTCTTGCCTCCTTTCCCTGTCTTTGTCAGCCTTTCTGTACTGGTCAGTTTTTCATATATGTTTTTGTCTCACTGTTTCTCTCAACTGTCTCCTTAGGTCCTTTTTGTTGTTGTTACCCTGACTTTCTCTGCTCCTGTCCTAGTCTCTGACTCAGTTTCCCTTGGTCTAGTTCTCTTCTAGATCAATCCTCAGTCTTTGTGTGTCTTGGCTGATTCATCCAATCTCCCAGATCCTTAGTTGGTTCCAAGTGTGGCCATTAGCCTGCAATCATCGTCTCACTCTGAGAACTTGCTAAAAACACAGAATCTCAGACCATATGTAGATACAAAGAACTTAGATCTTCGTTATAACAAGACAGCCTGGAGAATTCAAGCTCATATGCTACACTGACATGAGTTCTCTTCTAAAACCACATCTGAACAAAACTCAGAATAAGAGGGAAAGGGGTCTCCTGAGTGCCTGTATCACCCTGGTGATGCTACGGGGGTGGCTCAGCTTATCACTTCCTACACACACACACACACACACACACACACACACACACACACACACACCCTCCTAGAAGCTGCCCCTGGAATCTGAGCAGCTCAGGGAAGGAGTCTGTGGCTCCAGGAAGTCCTGGGGGTACAGATGCTTCCACATCTGCAGGACGACTGGTCAGGGGACATTCTCACCCTGGTACCTCGTGGACTTCTGGATGCGACCCTAACACATTGTGAATATAATGGGCCCTGGGCCTATCCTTGTCTGTTTCTAAGCTGGGTGATGTAGGTTAAAAAGTGAGGAATGGTCATCTGCTCACAGTCCTAAAACATCCACCTGAGGCTGGTACCCTAGGGTACCTGCCAACAACCATGGACGGTTCTAAAATGGTTCTTGGTGCTTTGGAGGACGAGCAAGTTCTGGAGGGGGCCATCTCTCTTGTGTCAAGATTCCTCTCCCTGCTCCAGGTTTAGATGGTGAAAGCACATAGTTCTCTGTGTTTATTTGCTTGCATGGTTTGGAAATTTAGCTCTCTTCTCTATGGGGTCATGCACTTAACCAGACCAACACATTTCTGGCCATCTTTCCCACCTCCAACTCTGCTGTTTCCCATCCCATTGTTTGGGGTGATATGTTTTCTGGAGTTTTCAAAGTGGGGATTTTCCCTCCTCTTCTCTGGTTTGTTTGGTTTGGTTTAAGAAAACTGGGAGAGAATTCAGGGCCAGGGCCAGCTCTAAAGACCTGCTCCATATCTCCGACACAGGGCCAGGCCCCCAGGTACTGGCTTTTTGCCTCAGATACCTCCAGCTATGAGTCTGATGCATGGTGGGAACTTTCTTGGTGGTAGGGAAGGGGGAAACAGGCTTTGAGAACAGGTTCTATCTGGCAAGACTAAATGGATTCATTGGGAAAGGGTAGGAGCGTGGTGTGTGCCACAGGTAGAAATGATCAAGAACAAAAGCCTTATTCTAAGAGGGAGAAGGAGGAGATCTGAAGGTTGAGGGCCTTGGGGGATGATGGGCTGCAAGGGGACCAGGGCTGGGTGCACCTGCTTTGGTGTGCTGTACCTCCCTGCTCTCCCCGAGAAAGAACCAAGAGAGGGGAGAACAAACCCTGGGAAGGGAGTGGTCATAGAACCCCTCAACGGGCTCTGTCTGGAATGAGCTGGCATGGGTGGGTGTGGGAGAACTAATGCTGTGAGTCCCTGCCTACCTCCAGCAGGATTGCCTACCAGGTTGGTGCCTGCTGATAAGGGACTCCGGCCTGTGGCTGGAGAAGGTAGCTTGGGTTAATGCCCCAGAGCCTTCCAGAACTTAAGTAGGAAATTGCGAAACAGGGCTGCGTTTTGAAAGAGAAAGTATGTGAAAAATGGTTCCTCCCTCGCCTGCCCTCCCCGGGGCTTGGTGCAGGGAGGTGGGTGAGATGGATTCCTGGCTGGGCCCACTCCTGTGTGGGAAAGAGAGCAAGGGCCAGCTCCCAGCAGGCTGCCAGCCTTTGATTATTGATTATTGATGGTGCGGAGCACTTTCCCCCTCTCTTGAACCTGGCCCGTATGACAAAGCCAGCTGCTTCATCAAGCTGAGTTTTGTGCCCTCAGAGGGATGGATTCTAGGGGCTCCCTCCCCAACCTCATATGGACCTTGGCTGTTGACTGACTATTTGGAATGTCTTCAGGTTGAGCCAGGCCTATCCATAAAATGGGAAGCATTTGGCAGTTCCATTGCCTCTGGCTCCCAGTCTTGGCCCTGGCCTGGCTGTCTTCTTCAAGGAGCTGGGTGGGCCTCCTGCCAGGATGCTTCCCTGGGAAACATCGAAGTGAGTTAAAGTCAACAATGAATTCATCTCCAAAAAGAAAAAGCCAGCAGCCCCAGGGCATGGAGACAGGAGAAGGACGACCAGAGACTGGGCACAGAAGAGAGGATAGGTAATGCTGGCATAGCCACGCCAGATCCAAGTCTGGCAAGGGACGTGGTGGCTCAAGGGACAGCAGGGGCACTTTCTGACACTGGCCCTGGAAGGCAAACTTGGCAAAAGTGGTGATGACAAGGGTGTCAAATCCCCAGAGAGCAGCAAAGTATTATTTTAAGGATTGGGGGCTGAGGCAAAGCAGAGGGAAAGGAGGAGGCTGGAGTGAGGGACAGTGAGTTGCGGCCCAGCGGTCCTCAGGCCTGCCTGAAGGATGGGGTATGCACCAGGATAGA